TGCAGAGCTGCTCCGCAGGCCGCTCTCCGCCTGGGAGGCGCGGGCCGCGCTTGCCTGGTGGCTGTGCGCTCTTCAGTTGCGCTGCTCGGCCTCAGGACACTTCTAGAAGGAAAATTGATTCTTCATTTCGCTTCAGACGAAAGGAGCTAAAAAGTCTGCCAACTTAAAGAACTCGGACTCTCTTAGGGTGTACCACGTGACCTGTCGCATTGCGCTCCGAGATATTCTGGAAATGCTACTAAAGGATCCATTTAAAACCCCTGGAACACAAGTGTTAGTGCTGTTTCTGTTGTTACTGTGAATGGCTCCTGGTAAATAGGCCATGGGTGAAGAGACCATGCTTATCAAGAAGAACAGGCATCTCTAAGCAGAGACTTTGCTCCAAAGAGGTATGTGATCGTGGGCCAGCCTTTCTTCTGGGGTTTTCACTGATGCATGTTTGGACCGTGGAGGGCTGATTCTGTGGGCCTGAAGACGACCGCCAGTAACCCTGAGAAGCATAACTTTGCAGACTCAGAACTGGCTGCCAGGGACCCTCAGGAGATCGAGGGGGTCTCAGCTGCCTCCTGGCACCCCTTTACTGCTGCCGAGTTTGACTGAGGCTAGGTTGGTGCGGTTGGCTCATGAGGAATGTTTTTGGCCCCTGGTAAAGCAAACTGTTTACAAGGGCAGTAAGGCTGTATTTGTTAGCTTTTTTGTATGAGTGACTGTTTCTTTCAGCGTTTTTCTATTTGTGGCCTAGTACAGTCTTTGAGAATTAGTGTGGTGGTAATGAAGAGGGTTTAGGTGTGTGATCCTTGAGCTAAACCTCCAATGTGTCTAAATGTATGCATTTTCTGAAGGTAATCCTAGTAAGTGCTAACGACACCTAGAAGAAAGGTTGCATGCCTTGAAAGTGCTCTGAGACACTTGAATAAAATCTGATCTGTAGCTGAAGAACAACCTTTTCAGTGGTTATCTGTTCTGCTGTAGTGAAAACAATGTCTTTATGTTTAAAAGTTCAAGCCTGACTGGTAGCCTTTAGTGATTTATGGTCTTGACTTCATTTAATGAAGCTCTATTTTCTATGTAATGGAGGCTGATGTGTATACATAGTGTCTAGCACTCTGTGGGCTCCAGTTTCTGATCATTCTTTGGCACTGCTATAATGAAAAGGAAGGATGGTTACCGAGTAGTTTTCTGATCATGCACATTTAACTTCCTTAATTATAAAAGGCATTATTAAAATGTGCTTCTCAGACTCCCCCTTTCCCTCCCCCTCCCCCAGAATATATAGGTTTATCTTTTTGACTTGTAGGCTTTTCATACTACTCTTTCAATCTCTGCACACAACTTATTGATGCACAATAACACTACCAGTTGTTTTGTTAGCCAGATGCTCTCCCTAGGACTGACCTGAATAGTATGAGCTGATTTTTGTTCTGTTCTGGCTACTGTGATAGCTGGGTTCCCCTGTAACAAACTGCTGATTATTTAAAACAGAATTGCAAACATCAGAGTTGGAGGCATAGGGAGAGAAAAGCTTGGCTTGAGCTTTAAAAGGTGATAGATACTTTGAGCCTCTTGTGGAGATGCAACTGGAAAACTTGCAACTTAAGCAGACTGAACGTTATTTGACAGCGGCTATCCTTCAGTCTGGAAAGTTCGGCTGGGGATGGCTTTAGAACCCCTTGAAAACATGCTGCATCATCAATGATGAAAATAAGTCGATCCAAATTGCTGCACAGCTCTGGGTAGCCCTCAGGTGGTCTACTTGACTGTGCCTGGCTGCATGCTAAGTCACTGAACTTCCTAGTGTTCAGGCCTGTGGCACTGTACGGGCTGAGAGGGTGAACTGGAATTATACTTTCATGTTTGCTGGCTGCATGTATAGCCAGCAAAGTCTTGGTAGCCTCAGGGAATCCCTCAAAATAATTGTAAAGCTGAAATGGCAGTGAAAGAAACGTGACTAAATCCTGGAAAGCAAATGCACTGGACTGAATGAGTTTAACTTTAATTATTTCCACTTTTAACAGTTCTGGCTATGTTAGTCTTTGGAATACCTGCAAATACACAGGAACATATGGAAATGAAGAGACGAACCCTCAGTGAGTAAGTCTTGTTTAAAAATTTTCCTAGAACAGAGCATCAACAGTGCTCTTGGACAACAATCTAAGAGGCTTTTTCTTAATTAGTCTGAGAACTGGGCTGGAAAGATCTTTGTATATAGCTGGTAATCTGACATAAAGTTGAGGAATCTACCGCAGCAGCATTTTTATCTGAAGGTTCCGGTGATTAAAGGACTCAGTGGCGCTTCTTAACTTCTATTTACATAAATAAGTTTGAATATTATAAGATGCATTTAAATGCACTGGGAAGCAGCTATAATAGGCATTGAATTTAATGGCAGAAACAGTCCACACATCTCACATTTGCTGATCAATTGCCTTGAGGAGGTGTGACTTTTGTGGGCAAAACCAGGCTGCCAGTTGTAACTTTGGTTGTAGTATGCCAGGGCTTTCTAGAACCATAAAATGAACATACAATGGTCTTTTTTTTTAAGCATATCTACATTAAAGTACAGAAGTTCATACTTAGGCAAATATTGTCAATGTTTGTTAAGAAAATTACCATACTAAATCAAAAGGAGTCCAGTTTGAAATGTTGTCAGAGGTGGTAGTGGATACTTGAGAAAGTATATGAACAGTATGAGTACGTAGTCCTGGAATGTTCTCCTAGTTTTCAGTGTCTGTGACCTGTGACTAATAATTACAATTAGCCAGAGCTGGTGTCTTTGCATATTTCATCTGTGACTGTCTGCATGATTTCTGAATCTATAGAAAGTTTTAGCATCCACAGGATTCAGCAGAAAAGTAAGTTTTGGCTTAACCAGTTAAACTGGTTAAATTAGCAGTTGTATTCTACTTCCTAATTTCATTTGATGCCTCTTAAGTCTTCTATTGGAGAAGACAGTGAACCATGCCATGTCTGTAACGCCTACAGATCTGGCTGAAGAAGCAGAGTCTATTTTGTACAGCAGGTGTTCTGCACCTTATCATCCTCTTCCGTACCTCGTGTAGTTCTGCTCTATGGTCTCTGAGAGATAAGAGGCCTCGACTACCTACCGTGTATTCAGGATAAAGGAGCAAGTTGGATTAATAGTGGTGTAATTATGTCCCCTTCCCCCCCCCCCCCAAATATTCTCTATTCTTTTCCAAGTACTTCCAAACATTCTATTTGGATTTTGATCAATGAACTGACTTTAAAACCCATTTTTATGTCAAGATCTCTTTTGGGTGGTAACAGGTTTCTCAGATACCATCATACAATGTGTCATTCAGATCATTATTCCCCCATCCCTGTGCCTGCATGTTTGTTACATACATTATCCACACTGAACTTCATCTGCAGCTTTATTGTCTATTCCCACAATATTGTTAGTCCCTGTAGCAACTTGACGGTGGCTTTTTTTAACTTCCTAGAACAAAATATTGTCAGAAATCTCTGTCACCTTGCTATTAGACTATCTTTTCCAAAACCACTGTAAATATGGTAAATTTCTCATGGCTAAGCAGAGATCTCTGCATGAGTCTGTAGGTGATTTCTCCTGACTGTGAAAGCTAACCACTTATCCCACTTCTGTCTTTTGACTAGTTGCTTTTCTGTGGCAGAACCTTTCGTCTTGTCCCATGCAGCATAGATTAAGAAACTTTGCTGAAAGTCTGTCCTGAACAGCTTCTGGAAATCCAAATACAGTATATCAACTGAATCTCTCATGTCCATGTTCTCACTGATTCTTCCAAATAATTCTAAAAGATTTGTCAGGCATGAATTCCCTTTACAAAAACTGTGCTGACTCTTTCTCTGCATTTACTATTTATTCATGCACCCACTAATTTTAACATTCAGAATAGCTTCTGTCAGTGTGCCTGGAATGAGTTAAGGATTTATATGCCTGAAGCTTTCGGAAACCTTTTTAAAAATTGGTGTTATGTATGCTACCTTCCAGTCCTCTGGTACTGCGGCAGAACACTGCAGCTATTACAGCTGCTATTTCATCTTTGAGTTGAGCATTGGGGGGGACGGGAGGGGGAAGAATACCATATGGTCTCATGACTGGTTGCTATTCATTTTGCTGGCTTAATCCTTTCTGTAATCTTTCCTACAGATGCTTCTGTTTGAAATATTCTGTGATGCAATTCCTGTAAAGTAAGCTTTTGGCACAGGATCTTTCCCAAGTTTGCCTGAAGTAAAATGCCTGCAAAAAAAATCCACTTCCAGTACCCTCATGGTTTGGCCGTCAGTTGGCCTTACAAACTCTTTGATAGTCTTCCAGTTCCTCACATGGCTGAGGAAATACTCATCAGTTCTCATGCTGTCTACAAATTGTTTTCCTTGAACTGTTTTTCTGGCCTGTGGTATTGTGCTTTAAAGTGACAGTTTGTGGCCACTTCTGTTTTCTGCCTCTGAGTGTAACTTCCACTTTTTGAGGGATATCTTAATTCCCCCTTATCAGAATAATTATTTTGGATCTTTTAGCTTTTCCTAATAGGTGATAATGTATGATTACATATGTCTTTAAATATTTTCCCTGCAACTTGAAAAATACAAAGATCTTTGTATCTTTATTTCTACAGTATGCACCACCCCAAACTATGCCCTTTTTCCACACTTGTTAGCTTTTCTGTAACGCTAGGTTACTCTCCTGTATCTCTTTCTTTTTGTAACTTGTAAATGTCAGCAGACTGATTGCATGTGGCTTATGATGAAAGCCATGCCTCCTCTATAGTTTCCTTCTATTTTAAATATTTCTGTAGTTCCTAGTGATTTAGAATCCTTCCTTGCACCATTTTTTTTTTTTTGTTAGCCGTGCATGGTCACTCAGCATCCCTGGTCCTCTATGTGGTAGTAGAAACATTTAAACAAAAAAAAAAACAAACCCCCCCCCCCCCAAACCCTACCTGTCAGGGAAGCCTTTGCCTTCAATTTCATATTTAAATTTAAGCTTTGTTATCAAAAACTCTCCCCCTACTTTTTTCCCCTGTGTCCTTGGTATCCACACAAATGAAAAGTAATTTCTTCTCTAATATTTCCAAAAATTCTCCCCAAACTCCTCTGTTCTGCACCTGGCTGGCAAGTCATAATCCTAGGTAGTCATGTTGCTGATAATCACATTGCACATCACTATAGCTTACCTCTCTCTGCCTTATAACAGCATCCCTGCCCTCAAGTGGCATCTTCTTTCTAGGGAGTATCTGCCCCAGCATCATCAGGCTCTGTCATCAGGCTGATGCTTTCTTAGCACAGGACTTTCCTCTCTTTCATAGCACGAGGGTTGCCAGCTCTGCTTGTTGTTATTGAAGGTGTCATTGTTTGAACAGTCTCACTATGTTCCTTGGCCTCAAGATAACTTTTTTCCTGGGAACCCTGCTCTGCCTGTGCCCCTGGGGCTAGTAATTGAATTGCCCTTGGTGCAACAAATTGGGAACCCCTCTGCCAGGTACTGGTGATGGGGATGATGCTGAGAGTTGTCATAATCATTTATTTCCCCATTGCACAGTTGTCAGTCCTGCATCGAAGTCATTTAGATAACCAAACTATGATAACTGAAATTCTTCAGCACAGTTAAGGTTTTGGCCTTCTTCATTAGAGAAGGTGAACTGGTTTATATATAATTTCTAAACAGAAATCAGCTCTAGAAGAGAGAGGGCTGGTCGCAAAACTAGTTCTTCCCAAAGTAAGTGAAGTAAGCTAGAGATATTTAGAACCAAATGTCTCCTCCTCCTAGCTGCAGATTTTGCCATGTTGTTATAATCTTTCTTTATCTAATACAGAATGTTCTTTTGCTTAAACAGAATTTGGCAAGGGGTAAATGCATATAGATTCCATTAGAAATATCAAAACTCACACTATTCTTGCAAGTTGAGGTTTATAAGCTCTCTCTGAAAGAGACAAGCATTCAGAAGCAGGGAGCATGCGTCGTTTTTTTGAAGCAGGAAGTAAAGAAAAATCTTCCCCCCTCCCTTTTCTTCTCGTTCCTAGGGTGGACTCTCATAACTCTAAGCAGAGGAGAGGTTAAAGTCACCCTAATCCATGCCATCTGTTCATGCGCTTGAAAGTCTGGCTACTTGATTGCAATGACTGGTAAGCTGATGCTGCACGTCTTCCCGTTTTGCTGCGGCAGGACAAAGTGACAGGGATTGTGCGCCCTTCCTCTAGGAAGGTGGTAGTTTATGATGGCTTTTGTGGGCAGTCATAGTTGAGTGGTGTAGATGAAAGAATTATGCTCAGAACTGTTCCGCTGTGTAGGCTTTAGAGACTTCTGATAACTTCTAAACTTTAGGGAGAGCTGGTAGGGTCATTCTCTTGTTCCTGTAAAAGAGCTGTTCAGCTTTTTCAAAGATGCTGCTAGTAGGCTTCAGATACTAGTATCCCCGTGCTGCCACCTTATGTTTAGAAACAAAAACAACTTGACTGTTCTTGTTTGGAAATGCCTATGTTAATCACCCTTAAATTTCCTTGTAACAATGTCTAGTCTTGAGCATGAAAACAATCATGTCAAGCTCGAAGGAGACATTTAAAGTTGCACAAATTGAGTTCCTTCTATTTTAATTTGGAATCCGAGACTAAGGCTTTTGATCTATTTGAAGTCCTCCCTGAAATTGTAGGAATTAAAGTTGTTTTATGTTCTGGTTAAGGTGGGTATGCTTTTATAATTCCATGGATTCAGGAACTGAGATTTAAATTAATGTGTGGTTTTTTTTTTTTTGGTGATGGGTAGTGATGTGTTTGATTAGCTATTAGAAGCTAATCAAATGTGCTGTGGCCAAGCAACACAGTGAGGGAGTCATGTGGACAGTTCTGCCCCCCTGGTTATTGCTACTTGCATTTGGGTTAAAACAACTCTCACAATAAAAGGCTTCTGGGAGCCTGGGAAGATGGCGCAACTTCCATAATGTGTTATTTGACATGAATGCAAATCACCAGTTAATTGGGAGAAGAGCCAAAGGCTTCAGCATTATAAGTAGTGTTTCCAGATTGTCCCCCTTCTGATACCTGTAGCTGTGGGCAGTGCTTATTCTATGACAGACAAGTGGGAATCTGTCAAAATGCTATCTCCATGTTTTTAAAAAAAAAAAAAAAAGGCACGCCATTATGTGTGCTGTTTATGCCAGCCTTGGCGTCTAGATGGAGGGTGACTTCAGCTGTTGCAAGATGCTGCAGTGCTTCTATCAGTACTTTCCTTCACCTGTGGCATCTTAAGCATATGTCCCACCAGGCTGCTGACAGCACCTTTGCCAAGATATTCCTCTTTTGTTGCATTACAAGATTCCTCAGTGAAATGAAGAGTAGCTCATCTTTAAGTGTGGATACATCTTTTTTTGTGCTAGAATGCAGATCTTTGAAGCACAACATAAAGAACATGACTTAAATATAGAAGTTTATAACTTTTCTTTTTGGCACTGCTTTTCATGGTTCA